AAACAATTTGAGATATTTCAGTCTTTCCTTGTATGACAATCTCCTCCATCCCAGGCACCATTTAAGTAACCCTTCTCTAACCTTTTCCAATAATTCAATGTCTTTCCTAAGGTAAGGAACCCAAGACTGAACACATTATTCCCAATGTGGCCTAACCAGTGATCTGTACAATGAAATTATAACTTCTTTAGACTTGTATCTAATATTATGTGAAGGGTATAACCCTTTTTTCTTTTCTGCTTTGAAATATCCCACCAACCTATATAAACACAAAAGGTAAGGGCAAATAAATGCAGTTGACCCACTCCCCCAATTCCCAAAATATGATTTCTAAAATTTGTAGAAATACTCTTAGAAAAATATAAAATCATTTATAATAAAAGGAGAATTACTGGTCAGCAATGAACAAGTAGTGGCACAACACAACACGCAACATCATCAAGAAAATAGGGCTGGGCCTAGATCATTGGCTGTAATAAAAAATATTAGTAATTAAACTTATAGATAAAAATATATATTCGTCAGTTGTCACCAAGTTATTGGTTGCTAGGCGCTACGGAGCCCAGCAATTTGACTGCAGTATTTCCGTTGCATCATGGGATATTTTTACTTCTCTAGCTAGTGTGGTACTGGTGCTAGTAGTAGAATATTTGCAGAATGTTGTAACGTTATTTAATAACAAGTGTGTACGCTATTAACATTGTGAGTGTCATCAATGGGCTAGCGCGTGTGAAAAAGTTGCTTTTCTCATACTTTTCAGGGATCGGATTCGAAGAGAAAGTGATAGGGGTGCAGTTGGAAGAACAAGTGTTTTACCAAAAAGTAAAAGTAAGTCGTGTTTTTACTTTGTGGTTAAACACTGAACTTTGTCACATTAAACTTAAACGTTAAAGTCAAACTAATGGAGAACAGTCGACGAAATACCGTGAATTCTGATTCTACATATTCCTTTAATATAAGCACTATGTTATGTACTGATAATACTATTAGTAATATACGTATATAAGACATACTGTATTAATTTTATTATAATTTCCTAGTAGGATTTAGGTTATAATAGACTGCATGTAGAGTTGGAATTCACATACCACTATAAATTTAACGTACTTCCAATCTATTGCTTTTAATTTTTGTGAATTGGTTGTGGGCGCCCGTGATTTACTTTTAGTATATTGTTTCAACTGTCCACTTTGTGAAATTGTGGTGTAGTGTTGGAACGTCAAGAAAATTATAAATGCAAAAAAATATTTTTCATTATTATGTATACATGTCTGATTTTTAATTTCATCTAGAGGTACAACACTGTTTCATCAACCGTAAATGGTGTAACTTAATTTTAATTAATAAAGTCTGAATTTCAACTATATACGTTAAACTCAAAATGAAAAAGCAAGAGAGCCACCATGGATTGATTAGAGGTAACTCCTGCCATTCTGTTCTGTTAAATTTATTTGAGGATGTTACTTGTTATCTGAAGGATGGAAAGGGTTTGGATTTTCAAAAGGTTTCGATAAGGTACCACACAGAATATTATTATTATTAGCTAAGAAAATCACACTGGTGAGGTAAGGGAAAGACTAGTTAATTGGAATCATGGATAGTTAAATGAAAGAAAGCAACAAATAGTATACCTGTAAGTGCTCTGGACTTTGCTTGTTTTACTTATTTATATAATGTTATAGTTAATGACATAACTAGTAAATTATTAAAGTTTATTGGTGGCATTAAACTCATGGGTATTTCTAGTAGCTGTGTTGAGAATGTTTAGATACTACAGAATGATGTGGATAAATTGGTAAGTTGGACAGATGGTTAGTATATGACCTTTATTATAACAAGTACAAGATAATGTACTTGAATAACAAACCTTACAATTTGAAACAGCATGACCGCTCCATTAGTTTCATCAAACTCCCATCTGTTTATATTCAGCCCTGATTTTTTTAAAGCTTTCATCAAATGATCAACCCCAAATTCTGACTGTTTGAAAAATAAAATTCACTAATTTGCAGATTACTTCTAACTTGCTATAACTTAAGTTTATGTCTTCTAGCCCTACCATTCTCACCATGAAACACAAAAAAGATGATGTTTCAGTTCTATCTATTCCCTTTATAATTTTGTACACTTCAGTCCAGAATATCCCCTCTAACACTTCTTTTCTCAAGATAAAATAATTTTAAGGACCTTAACCTATCCTCATATAATAGTCCTCTCATTGTAGGAATGAAGTAGTCATGATGCATTAATGCATGTCTAAATGTTAAAGATAATATGATGGTATAATTGTCAGACTAGCAAATTGACAGAAAGTAATTCATCCCATTGATGTGGTGAGTATCTCATACATTTACTTTGTCTTTAGCTATACTCACAAGTGTAAGAGCCATTTGGTGTAATTTTTGTACTTCACTCCATGTATTCAAAAATAGTAATAATAACAAAGCAATCATCCTAAATTGTAGGTATAACATAGTCTTTCACATGTATACCTGTTTAAGGAATTGTATACTTGTGTAATCTGACAGCACATGTATGTGATCACTCACAGCAACATTAACAAACCATTTTATAAATCTAAAACTTGTAGGAAAGTAAATATGCTAAAGAATAGGTCTACTTCAAAGCTTCCTCAGTTTATAATGTATTTACTGTAGCTTAATTTTCAAGTTGTCACTTCCAGTGTTTTCATCTTACCCAACAGGTCTATCACAGGCAATTTATTCAATCCTCAAATAATTCAAAATTCCTTAGCCAAATCTCTACTTGTTCTTATGTGCTCCAGAGAAAACAAGTTTGTCATTAACCTTTATTCATAGCTTAATATTTTAAAACTAGGAATCCTTTTAATAGGATGTTGTAGTGATTTAGAATCTCTGACTCGGGAGCAGCAGAATTGGTAGGGCACTTTGTAGGAACCATGTCAGACATTTAGTATCTCTTATTTTTTCTGAAAAATCCACAGCAATGTACATTATTTTATGAGGAATCCAGAGTTGTATGCTGATCTATAATTGGATAACATCAAAAGAAGTTATGATTGGATGATTTTATTTTATCAGAATTCAGACAATGGTCATAGCATTGTTGCAGAACATTATCAATGGAACACTCACCATTTCCAAATTTTTATGAAACCTGTGAGGAACTGCAGAAACAATGAGTCAGAATCTCTGAGTGTTTGTTCTTGTAGAGATAGAAACAAGGTTGGATTCAAAACCAACCTGCACATGTAAAGTAGTAAGATGTCCAAAGTGTTACAAGTGTAGCAGGTCTGTATGCAGTCATGATAGCACACCAGTTGCTCAAAAAGTTAGCTGTAAAAGAGAAGTTTGAGCAGAGGAGGTGCTATCTAGCACTTAAGAGAAGTATATTTGCATATAGGAGTGATATCTGAAAATTTGTCATTAAATGGGGAAGAGAGCAAAGATGGTTCAGTGTGGTGCAAGTCTTCACAGTGTGAAGGAAGAGAATGATGCAAGATCAGGTGAGAAATAGAGACTATGAAGACATTTTCTGAGTGAAGTGTAAGAATATTACAAGGATAAGAAAAGAGACAAGTACTAAAATAATGGCAAAATAGCATGACCATAATGTGTGGATGGTCCACTTTGGTAGGACAGAGACACCTTAATGACTACTTGGATCAAAGAAAACAATGCAGTAAAATGATCCCTGGATCATATCCTACACAGCCATGTACTTCACTTTTAGGCTTTTTGATTTCCACATTTGATAGTACACCCCACAACCTACCCAATTAGTCATATTTGCTGCTGTTGAGTCGAAGATTGCTTGTTAATATGTCTTGCATACAATTGTAATGTTAACCCACAACTTGCAAGATTGATATCCTTCATTATATGAACTACTACTGCTGTTCCTTGTGTGCACTCAGATTAGCCAACCATGTATATGTACACTGAATGTGATGTGGGAGCTTTCCTGCACCTCCGTAATTTTGGATATTTTGCACATTTGCAATGTTTATGAAATTTGTTGTAAAAAATTTTTAAGATAATTTATGAATTATTTTAATAATTGTGATATATTGATGATTTTAATTTTTTTTTTTTACCTTTCTGTGAATTATTCTGTGTTACTAAATGACAAAGCCTCTGGTTGTAGGTAGTAGTATTAAGCTCTAAAGATTATCATGTTTAACAGTTCAATGTGGCTAGTCACCCGCTGTGCTGCTACAAAGTTGGTATTTATAATTTTTATTTAATTTGTTTTGTTGTTTTTAGGATGTTTGATATTTGAAGTACTTTGTTATATGTCAAATAATTATCTTTATCTGAGAATAAATTTGCTCCCATTATTTGAAGTTAATAATTCTTTTGCAAACTTGTTATTTCATTCTGGTAAAGGAACTGGAGTAATATAATTTACTCTTTGTGATATCAAGATCAAAAATTGGTTTTCCAAATTTTTGCAGGATATACCTACCATTTCTACATGTTAGTTGCATATTCTTTTTGTTTCCAAAAATGATAAATGTGAATATACATATATACTGTAGTATTTGAAATGATGCTTCAAAAATCTAGTGTGGGGTTGGAATAGTTTTTTTGCATGTACATTTGGTTCAATAAATAGATTTAAGAGCTATTGGAGCCTATGACAGTGGTCTAACAATTATACTGAAATGTCTCAAGGACTTCATTGAAACAGTTTCTTGCCTCTCTTTTAAAAGATTATTTGAAAGAAATAATTAAAAACTTAGTCTCTTAGTATGTGTGACAAAGTGAAGTGGTAAATGATACAGAGTTTGGAGGGGGCAATAAATGAAAATCATTTCAATTCTGAGAATAGTGGGTTAAGCTGTATCTTTCAAGAGACTGGGTGGCTAAGTTTAGTTGGCAGAGTTTGCTGAAGGAAAACTAAGTTTATTTGGAGAAAATTGCAGAATTGAAGAAAGAAGCAGGTTGAGAAAGGAAGTTTAACATAAAAGAAAAGAAACAGAAACTTTAAGTTGAGAGTTTTGAAAACTGAAAAAAATCTAGGATTAAGAAAGTAAACCTAAATCAAGTGTAGGTAACTGTTTCAAACAGATTTGGTCTTTTAATAATGGTGGGGAAAGGATTCTGAGGTATTTGTGGTACAGAATATTTTATGTGCATGGTCGTTTGCTTAAAGTTTTTTTTGTACTGGAGTTTACTGGTGTAAGTTTTAAGATATTGTGGTGTGAATAGATAGCATACTGGTAGAAACAAGAATATTCTCTATTTATAGTGCATATAATGAATAAATGATTATTTTAATGGCAGATCTAAAGTTATTAACCAAGAAGAAAAAGCTTTCTCAGTATTTTAAGGATAGAAGTTATTTGGTTGTTCTTTAAAGGGTTCTTCATATTATATATGGACAAGAAATTTCAAGCTCAATATAAGGAATAACCAAGAGATTATTGGATATATATACTATACTATACTGTACTTAAAATGTATGTGATCAGCTCTATATAAGCATGCTGGGAAAGTGTTCAGCAAAGTTCTGAATGATCATCTTAGGATTGCTTAAATTAAGTTCAGATAATATTGAGGGAATTTCTTTGACTTTAAGAGGAATATGAGGTGTGTGTTTTTTTTAAATACAAGTATAAATATTTTTTGAAGTTGCTTGAATTAGAAGCAGTGGTGGTAGTTATCATGTTAAATGTGGTTGGTATTATTAACTGTTGATTAAATGAAGATATGTAATAAATCTTTTATTTTATATTTAGAATAAATTTAATGGTTTAAACATCAAATATAACTGGAAGAATTCTTGTTAATTGAGAGTGGGTAGTAAAGTTAATATTGGTCCTTTAAGAAATTTCAAACAGAACCTTGTTATGGAAGAGGAAAACATGACTGGTATATTTAGAAAAGTCTTCTTTATTATAATTTCTACCAGTGTTTGTAAAGAAGAGACTCTTGATATGACAAATGTATTTAAGAGTGAAAAGGTTTTACATGAATTCTGTGTGTGAAGAAGAACTGGCTACTTTTAAAATGCTTGAGAAACTCCTTTAAATATTAATCTTTGGAAGTCATTTGGTACTGGAGAAATTCTTAATGACTGGAATATTTCTAATAATTTGTCTAAAAACAAAACAAGGGATTTGGGAGAATCTAGGAATCATACAAGTAAAGTTGTTTGACTTTGTTCCTATGGAACCTTTCAATTCATTTGTAAGGCTAGCATTTAATTATTAACTCATAGTATAGTTTTAGAAAAATGGCAGTTTTAGATAGAGCCTCTGCACTTTTTTGAATGAAGGAATCCAACAGATGTAACTATTAGGCTGTTTAAACTAAATTTGAATAGTATACATGTCCTGGTGCCCCATGTTAACCTATATTCCTATGTTTTCCAATGTCATTAAGTATAAGAGATATCCCTGTCTCTAGAATTCTAAATTTCCAATAGGAACACATCTTGATGATCTGAGCATATCTGAGTGAAGAACTCCAGACATCTTTTTGTGCATTACTTGCATGACGTTGCAGTTTCACCAGCCTTTTGGTTTCGTCTCTCTCCAGTTTTCATTCTCTAATCTTCCT